AAAGACAACAACTACCGAAAACACATATAGCCACTGAATGGATTAAATGGGATAGTTGAATAGTATTTGGAAATTTTCTTTCTACTATTAAACGTGCCGGTACAGGAAAATGCGGCGCTCTGAATTGCCAAATGTTTCCAAAACGTTACACTGCCAAATGCTCTTAGACCTAATTGCTGGATGCAATTCATTATCTACATGTTCAATTGCTGCAGTAAGAAATAACAGAGATCGCACCATGTGATGACGTCAACTAAAATAGCGAAAGACGCACTCTCACTTCACGTTACTTACAGTGGGAATGCAACTTCTATGATGGGATGAATTGCTCGACAATTTAAGTGAAACTGTAATACGACATAGTCGTTACAATGATATATCACCGGTTACTTAAAATCAAAAGAATTTAACGACCAAAACACCTCAAAAAGAACACTTCGAAAACAATGACTACTTGTAAAAGTGTTGCACCGTGAATGTGAACAGCCTGTGCAAAAAACCGGTCAATGAAACACCTACATACGCATACACATACACGGACATACATGCACAGACATACACATGCATGCGCACAGACATAACGGATATGTCGGCATATATACATGGAAGGACAAAGAGAAAGAGTGATCCTGATAGTAGCAGTGCTGTACCAACCGAAATAGTTTTTTTAATGATAATGCCGAGAAAGGATAGTGATATAGCAATATGGCGTATATATATTATATATGTATATATGATAATAGGATAATGATTGAAAATTGAAAATCAGGAGGTTTCGGGATGAGCAACAGCGTCGTACTGGGGCGTACGCTGATGTCTACAGGTAATATGTAGGTTATGCGCACACGCCAAAAGGGAAATGGGGTTATGAGGGAGTAGGGGAAGGGAAGAGGCAGAGAGGGAGCAAGGGGGAGAGAGAGAGAGAGGGGACAGAGCACATCTCCTTCCAAACAGCGCTACAAATCTTGCATGATGTAGTCCTACTATTAAAGACATTTGTGGAAAACTGGAAAACAGGCACGAAACCACATTTATTGCTACCTTACTGCAGAAGTGCTGCAAAAGTATACAGTAGCAGTTATTACAGTTTGGTACTGTTGCGCAGGCCTGTTTCTATCTTTTGTGGGCAGCCGATCGTTGCCAGTAGACCCCTGCTGGATTAGGACAGTGAACAGGAAAAGACGATGACAAGAGGACGGCAATGACGAAAGTTATGGTGATAGAGACACCACTATCATTGCCATCACAGGCGACCAACAGTCACCCTTCGGAACCACCACTTCTCCTGCACAGCAGCAGATCGCCTTGACTAATTCACCTTCTCTAGAATCCCTTTAATTCCAGAATCATAGGATCAATCCACGGCACTACATTGGATGAAAGGAAGTCTCAGTTAGATCCTTAGCATTTGTAACCAGAACTTCCAAACTGCCACTAAAGTTTCATACTGCTTGAAATCTGGATGCTAAAATTATTTTGGTGAGAGATTTCGGGTCTCTTTTCTAATTAGTGCTGCATCCATAAAGATCACTCGCAAGACTCCGCGACTTTAATTTGCATAAAAACGGAACCTAATTCGATTATAAAATGCTAAAATGTAACAGTCCTAACTATAATTAATTTATCCCTAAAAGACCTGAAAAGCATGCAGAATTTCAACAATCCTTTTTTGCATTCCTCCACTTCGATACTTTATTCCAGGTAGAAGGGAGAGAGATTAAGAATGAACGAAAAAATTAGAATTATGTTCAAAACAGAATAAGACATCAATTTTTTGGTTAGGGAATATTGGTATATGAAGCTTGAATGATTCGAGTAACATAAGATTCTTGAAAACCATAGCTGTGACAATTTCAGCATTCCTCAGAATGCATTTGGAGCACACCACCCCTTATGTAATTATAAGGATGGTTATCGAAATATATAAAGTTAAAATCTATATTCAAAGCTCTAAGATGATGCTACCTTGATCTGGCATCATTAATAGAAGTCAAACAGTTATATTTTATATTTAATAAAACTTCAACTGTTGAGTAAAATAAGCTCCAGCCGCCAATGTCTATTTGGATTACAATTCGAAAAGGCTCGGGAATCAAAAGAAAAATGACATGGTCAGTGCGGTGTTGTGAAATCCACAGCCGGCAACTTCTATTAGATGACATCGACCCTTCTAAAGGGTCCTAAAGGACTCGCATAAGACGTATGATTCTAATAAAGTTCAGCAGGAAAGATTACATCTCCTACCCGTTGACCCATTAGGCGCTTACTTCGAAATTATAGATAGCATTTAAATATGACGTTTTGTTCCGCATTATTTCCCACGAACTTCCTTGTAACATAAGAGAAGAGATGTGTTGAAGTACTACCCTGCAGCCAATCATAATTTCGTGCCATTGTTACAAGTTGGAATTTGAAGAAAGCACGACAGTCGTCGATTTAGGAAATGTAGGAAAATGACGTTGCAACATAAGATGAAAGGACAACATGCATACATATTGGCATGCATGCAAATATACCGCATTGTATGAAAGGAGTAAGCGTACTCCACGGTGCTGCTGAACAGAGTTGAACGTAGGGACCACTAACTGGATTGACCGGTGTGTAGAAAAGTAGGTGAAAAGCTGGTAAGCTGGGAACTGTGTGGAAGGATGCGAAGGCAATGAGATGAGTGAGGAGGCGGATAAGTAGGTGGGTAGTAGGCGAGTGGGTGGATCACTTGCTGCAACGCTTTACGTTTTGGGGCGACATTTGGAATGTTGCCTGCAAGGGTCGGCATATGGATTGGCATATGATAGGAATAGATGCACGTCTAGCTTCGCCACTGTTGTGTAATGTGCAAGCGAACATTGGGTAGACTCGTCGAGATGCCAACGAAAAGGAGGCGTTATTCGAGGGGGAAGATATGAGAGAATTGATGTAGAAGACAGGCAGAGAGAATAGCGTAGGTTGGACAATGACCAACGCGATGGGAGTGTGTGGGAAGAAAGGCAATGGGAATGTGTGAGGGAGAGAAGCAAAAAGAGAGGGGTGGGCGAATTTACCTTATGAGCAACTTTCAACGTATGCCGCTCTTGTCGGTCTTCAAGCTTGACACAAACAAAGCTAGTGAGACAACGCTCTGACACACAGACATACATACACACACACACACACACATACACACATGTACATCTGCATACCAGATATGTGCATGTATATACTGAGGAAAAGTATATGCGTGCATACTCAGGAAGGGAGTTTCGGATGGAACATGATGGAAATAAGGCGGCTGCAGCTAACTTTCGGAATAATCCCTAGACGAAGTGGACAATTTGGTCACCTCACTAAACCAATAAGGGATGGTTAGCTACCGGATGAGATTTGTGTAGTGAGACTTCCCATCACTACCACAATTATTCGAGGCTTATTCAATTAACTTACAGTTAATGTTGTACATTAATAGTGTGCATATCGTTTATAGGAAGTGAGCTGTTTAATGATACTCGGATGTGGAACCGTAACAGTGGGATGAACACAGCAACTGCTTGCCTTGACCTTTTGACCTCTGCACCCTCCCGCAACATCATCCTCCTTTTTTCCTTTTACATTTATCTGCTTAATGTTCCTAATGCCATCAAATTCCAGTGCCGATCAAGGACGACAGCACTATAAATGATAACAGTGTACGAAAAACCATGAACCCCTCAAACTTAAAATCGGTTAATTAAGTCTGGATCTAAGCTCTCCCGTAGAAAAAAGTTCAATTATAAGCAAGTGTTCAGTGAATATACAGTTTCTGCAAAGCTCATATCGGATGTCAATATGATGAAGAATGTTTCTCTTTTTTGACTTCGTCCAAATTCCCGGAAGTTCCACTTGCTACTTCAAGTGATCAAGCTTACTTAGGCTGCGCCTAAGGGTAACTGCTGTATAATAAGTTAGGATGAGGGACAATGTTGATACATAAAATTGCAGGCTGTGCGTTTTTATGAGGTCAAGAATGTAAAACCAGTTTGAAGAAGGGAGAAGTCGAGTCTGCTATGGGGAATGATAAGCGGTTCGTTGACTGTGGCAACAGCACCATCGCAACATTTGATGAACGGGTGCGCATGCTCAAAGTATATGTATATGTACCGGATGGGCAATTAATTGCATATTCCTATCGCTCTCGAACATACCCCGGGGCATCATGGCATCAAAATTTGAAAGTTGTCTAATAAATCCAATTAGATATGCGCGCCCGTAAATCGTGCAAAGGGTGCACTAATATTTACTGCTAATTATATTGCATAATGAACTACCTTCTAACCGAAATTTGTTTGTATTGCGATTATATTTTCAGTTATCGCATAAATAACCATATTTTCTGGGCATTTTCAGGATATCTGCTGCTAACATACGTTATGGTTTCGGGGTGATGAAGGATATTTCACGCTGAAAATTCTTCCAAGATTCAACTCCTAGCTAATCTCTGAACAGAAGTATTTTAACACCAAACTCACACCACTGACATTTACGAACTTTTACTGCTATGTGGGAAGACTTAGAGATAAATCTCTAATATTTCTTCCGAAACTAGCACTACGGTTCGGTTTCTTATCTCCACTCCCATAAAAAGTTGCTTTTTGTGCAAATATTAATCATTTTCAAATATTCCTCAACGTCTTCATTTATTAGGAATAAGAAATCAGGAGAATGACGTAAACAAACATTAAGTATGGAGCAAATGTGAAGTTATGAACAGTCATTCGAAGACTGTTGATTATTTTGAATGCAACATGAAATCTACACAGACAGCAGTATACTCGGTGTCTTCTAGGCTATACAAAATTTCAAGACTGAGTAGAAATTCAAAACATGAAGTTATGAATTCAAGGTTTCCGTTGTTGCACATGCATTCATTCTTTTGTTCCTTTGGATACCAATCATAATTAACTGTTACAAAGTACTTCAGATAACATACAAAATACCAGGTATTATACAGTACATTCATTTCACTCTAGCTTAACTAATAAGTAAGCTTACCCGTCTGACATATGCGGTGGCAAACTCATTTGTATGGCATGATTCATAAACTGTCCTCGGAATGGCATACCGCTTGAAGCAGCTCCAGTATGACTAGAAAGAGCTCCAGAATTTGGTCCTAGTGATGTCATTGGATAATGATCTAAAACATGACAATTCTGAACATCTTCATAAAATAGGGGTACAATTTTCTTCAAATAAAGTTGTATAAATATGGAAAAAGATACAGTAATTGGGAAAAGTGTAATTTTTAACTTCTCAATGATGATACAAACTACGTGAGGAAAAGAAAGTTTGAAACAACTTTACAGAGCTGACAAAAGTAAATAAATTAACTTTCCAGATGACCATGCATAACCCTTCACAAAAACACTTAAGCTGCTCAACACAGTTCACCTTCTGAATCATTTGGCTTCGGTCAGTCAGACTAAAGTTTTGCTTGCTTTGAGTATGGTGTAATTTTTAAGCTGGATTTATTGGAGGCTTATATTCTTTATCCTTAAAAATATTCAAAAAACTTTTTAAAAACAATCCCAGCACTACAAGTTCCGAATTTGTTAAAGGGACATTCCATGAAACATATGTACCAATGCTATGCTAGGAAAAATTGAAACTACAGCCCTGTCCAATGACAAGTATTTGTCTAGGAAACTCTAAATGGTATTCAAATGACCAAATCCAAAAAATAGTTGCTTGAAGTAGTGAACATAAGAATATTTTTGTGACCATAAATGACAGCTATCCAAAATCAACAAAAAAAATATGGAGAAATAAAAACCTGGTGTTACAGCATTCTGAGGACGTTGACATAAGGCTGGTGAAGGCACTACAGAAGATGAAGCGACCATATGTGAATACACAGCTCGACCGGCCACAGGCTTTAGCTGGGCCGGCTGCAGCAAAGGTGATGCAATTGCCACGGTGAAATTTGGTTCAGTTATAATATATGGATGCTTCTCCTGTAATAAACATATGTTCAATTAAGAAACGCCTGAAAACAAACCAGCTCTCCGGAGTATGCAATTGTTAGGAACTTATTTTAAAATGATATAGCAAGTTCAATATTGTAACGAGTGCGCTGTTGATAAGAAATGAACAAAATTAAGGGATGAATAATTTTTAACTATTAACAATTGCAAAACTATCCCGAGAAAAATCAGCAGTAAGCATTTCTAAGCATCCTTGTAATCGACAACCAATGCTTGACAGAAAATATTGTTAAATTTGCAAGACGTGTAACATTAATAGTGAATGATGTAAAATGATTACTGATTTAGCATGAAATCAGATGATGCTATGCCTTCCTGCTAGGAAAAGGTATACCCTTGATGTGGAGAAAAGTAGGAAATTGATTTCAGAAAAGACGATAGTTTCTTTTGCTTATGCTACCATCTCATACGTTCTGCAATATGGAACTGAGAAATTATTCGGAATGTTAATACTTCTCCTTCTACTATCCCATTCTTTGTTGAAACTTATGTTCTACAAAAAAAATTTGAATGAGAATTTGAGCATAAATAAACCATCAGATCATTCTTTTACTTCCACTGCCACTGCTGCCAGAAAATTGTACGTTTCCCATCAATCACTTATCCGAATTTGCAATCATCTTTCATCTATCGATCGAGAACCATCAAATCCCATTCCGGGATTTTCTCAGAAGTTGCTATGAAGAGGAAAATTAAGGTTTCACCAAATCAGTTTAAATTAAAAAATGGGAAGAGGGAGAAAGGGAGAAAAGTAGGAGAAAATTAAAACAATTAAGAAGCAGCAACAAGGATCTTCGAAATATAAATTCCGAGCGTGCTCGTTCAATTTGTCGGTCCTACCTGGTTCTCTATATTTGCGCTTAATTCTAAAGAGAGGCATTTGGCAAGTAGCTGCACGTTGCAGTTCATTCATATGCACCATTTAAAGAAATAAGGATTACTTTGAATTTAAATGATTTATGGTCTGTGTTTACCCTCAAATTCTAAATTTTAATTCGGAAAGCGTCGCTAAAGGTTTCTGAGAGAACCAAAAATTTATCGGTAGATCGGAGCGACGATCGCACATTTCAAGAACCCTTAAAAGCAGGATTGGGAGGTATTTCTGGAGTAACCTCTTCGTTTAGATCCCACTTCTGCTTATTGCAAATGACCGAATAAAGATCACAACATGCCCTATAAGATCACTCGCTTATCCGTCACGGTTTTCATCGCCATCAACTTGCATAAAGGCCATGTGCAATTATCGAAGGTTCTTCCCTTTACAACATTACCACCTTAACTATGAATGTGCACTAACTAGTCCCATAATAGCCGATAGAATAGCCTCCTCTTTTGGATGTATATGACCTCTAACTTTTATCAGCAGAAGCAATCCTTCTTCATTCTCCCTTGGAGAACACGAACCTTCATTCTCTCACTGAAATCCGTGATTATTTCGTGATGATTGCCAGTTGTACGTTGTGTCCTGAAAAAGGCCCTAGAGACAGCAATAACACAAATATCATTTACATCATATTCTTCATTTGTTTTCTTGTTTTATAAAGTAACACATTACCTTGCATTCTATACAACATTGACGTGCGCAAGGAATGGAGTGGGACTAATCATATAATTTTACAAAGATATGGCACAGAAAGTCAAGAAGAACCGACCAGAAAAAAATTGATGCTTATCCGGATGGATGGATGAGATGTATGCAAGAAAATATTTTGAGTTAGCCTATGAAGTAGACGGTGTGTAAATAGGAACTGTGTAAATAAAAAGATCGATGTGAAATGGCAAAAGATGCAAAAGCAACAAAGTACGTTAAAAAAATCAACGCTAAGTTAGTAATTGGTATCCAATGAACATTGGACTGATTGGGACATATGTGAAATTGTACTTCTACCTCGTCACCTTTTAAGAGTGATCATTGCGAGGTTCTCATCAAAATACACACACACACACACAGTTAGTTTCATGCATAATAGAAACAGAGAGCATCCTTCTCTAGAGCTTTTAACTTGGACCGCAATTCAAAACAAGTTAAAAACATCCTGGCCATAAACATTATCATTCAATGGCAAACAAATTTTCGCGGCAAAACATATGATGCAAACAATATTAGATTGATATATACGACGAGGAGATGACAGGATGATACGATGAAACTAATTTATAATTATCAGCGTTCATATGACATTTTTATGCACAAGCAAGCATGTATTTATTGCATAATTTTTTGAAATTCAATACCAAATAAATGCAATAATTTCTTCTTTCCATTATTATGAATTATAAATTTTAATAAATGTGAAAGAGATTAAGTGGAATCCTCCAGAAATAATCCAACCTTGGAAATTTTTCAGAAACCTATAAAGTACTTCTACAATCGAAAATTATGAAGTCAGATTCAACAATAACGATAACATACACTTCTGAAGCACTGGAATTTTCATGTCGGTAACGAGTTGTAGAACGTTCCGATTTGTTTCTCACCCATTTCCGGTAGTTCAAAGTACTTTCTATTTTGGAAGAATGAGCCAATAATGTTGAAATGAACATGGAAAGAATGGAGTGATCGCTATACTATACAGAATGTGCCGTCACATTTATGAATGAAAAAGAATACGAAAGGTAGAAAGGATTTGTGAGTAATGAAAGAGAAGCGACATGTAATGATCGTGTATAGTTGAGAAAATATCAATTAGCAGCCCGGTTGTATCCTATGAAAGCTTAATGCTGCAATATTCACTATACAAGCTATCCTGAAGGGAGTTTTTCATAAATGAATGTGGCTGTAATTAACCCATGTTCTATTTCTTTGCAACAGCACCTTCTTCCTAGAAACTTCTTAACCAACCTGCCCGTCATTTTGACATCGGAACAGTGACAATTATTGATGGAGAAGCGTGCAACGATGGCATTATCCTCGTCATCATCACTGTTAGCATCGGCCCATAAGCTTTCTAATCCGGTAATATTTCAATTAAGAGCTCAACGTTCTCAATTTCTCTCTCTCTTCCTTCTATCTCTCATTCCTCTTTCCTCTCCCATTTGTGTAAAGAGTAATCAACAAGAACAAAAAGAAGAAATCACACAGATTTTTGCATTAAAATTAAAAAAAAATAAACGAAACTTGAGTGTAATTATTTAGCAAAGTAAGCCAGAAAGAACAAAAGTACTTTGAGATGTTTAGGATTGCAACGAAAGTAAATCAAATCGTTTGATCTACTTAGCCTAGGATTGTATTGTGATGTCGTTGGCATCTGTGAAGAAAGGATGATGATAATCGATTTCATCTAATCAAAGAGATAAACCGCGTGAATAAAGAGGTTAGATAAATAGATGCAATAGAAGATGTAATGAAAGTTGAGGTCAAATGAGAGGAATGGTCACAATGCCCAAGCAATTATTACTCATGTTATTTTCGAACGACCAGCATAACAAAAAAATACGATGAAATGATGAAATAAAAATTTGCCTTCATAATTTACAAGTTATACATGTTAGCATAAAATATCAGCTAAACCAATTTAAGAAACAACAATACATCAATGGTAATGTAATGTGTGCGGTACATAAACAAGAAAAAAATGTAGAGAGAGAAAGAAAGAAGGAAAACTGGAGATATTATTAACCTGATGAAGAGAAGAGAGCTCGAATGCATCATTTTCAAAAGCAATTTCTTAAAAAGAAGGCAAAAAACATAAAAAGAGAAATGAAAAGGGTTAAACAAAGAAGATAGGAAAAGAGTACATTGCTATGCAATGAGAACAATTTACATTTCTGTTTGGCTTCTTCATCTTCAAAAAATGATAATAGCATCATTTTCGGCTGTTCCTGGAACGTCTCCATCGTCATCTCTTTTACCACTTACCCCATCTTTTCCATCATTCCTCTTTTCCGGTATTGGAATACTGCAGCTCCCAATTTAACCATCACTTCCATTAGATCATATAACATCATCGTTCCAATGACAGCACAATTATTGTTATCATCACAAACATGTCATTATCACTCCATTTTATTATCAGGTAGTGTCAAATTACCTATGTAGAATATCAGTGTTGTCATATGAATGAAAAAAACCTGGAAGTTTTTCATCAATTTATCACTTTTATCCCAATATGCAAAGAGATGCAATACACATCAGTTTGAAAAACACAAAGCCAAATTTTTGGAATTGGAAACAGGTAACATTGCTGATTGCGATTTATTCATTTATTTTTTTTTGTACAACAATATAAAGGGAGGAAGCACAAAATTAAAAAATAATTTTTGAGTCAAATTTTTGAATAATAAAGTTCTCATCATCGTCTTTAAAACAGTTGTCTTACAAAATTGGCAAGAAAACAAAGACACAACGAAAATGGAAAATTCTGAGAAGCTTAGATTTGGAAATTTCAAGAAGCTACACTTTTCTTTATTAATAATAAATTCATGACGGGACACAAAAAGGGGTTGCACACAATTAAAACTTCAATGTCAATGTGCCACCGTGTATTCATTCTTTAAGGGACGAATTTTTCGTTTCCCTTCTGCTCGCCATCAAAATTTGAGGAGAAAAAATGAATTTTGTGACGTAGAAAAAGCAAATGGATGCACTTTTTGAAAAGCACACTGTCGATTATCGTACATCTGATAGATATATCTAATAGAGAAGAATAACCAAACGAAAAGAATTCTCAACCCTTTCTAGAAAAACGAGGTATTTCAAATCTTAAAATCTGACCATGAAAACAGTTAGTGAAAATTTCTTTCTTTTTTTGAAATCAACCAATGCTCAGCCCCAAGGTAAAGCCACATAAATTTTCCAAATTTCATTTCTTTTAGACCAACTTAAAATTTTATCTTTTAGAACTTAGCCCTACTTCGGTCTACGACACGGTTCCTCAATCTCTTTTTCTGTCGAATTCCTGTAAGCAAAAATAAGTCGAAAAAGGAATGAACGTTAGAAACTGTTCCGCAGTTTAATCAAATGTATTTAGTAATGCAACCATATTAGTGCGAAGATTCATAAGAATTTTTTTATTTTTTCTGCTACTTCAAATTTTATTCTTCTCTATTAACAGTGATTTTTTAATTTCAATTTCTACAAACTTCTACGTCTTTGATCTGATGACTTTCCACAAATGAATATCTTTTGTAGATCGAGAGAATACATCTGAGAGTTCGAAGTTAATAAAATATCTAAATGTGAAAAAGGTCATATGGAACGCTGAAATACTGCAAATAAAAGGTTTCTACCACCATCCCATTTTCCACATTCTTCTTTTTTCCATCCATTTCCTCTGGTAACGAAGAAAACAATCACTGCTTTTGTCACTTAAATCATTAGACGACTGAGGAGATTTCTAAATTAAAATGGCAATTTTCAAAGAATATGATCGATCATCAAAATTTACAGATAAGTTAGAAGCTATCTAAATTGAATCTAATTACAACGAAGCTGACTCCTGTAAGTGATTGATTGATTGTAAATGCAGTGCAACTTGTTCGTCCTGCAGTTATCTTTAAAATATCAACGCCTGGAATTCAGAAAGTAATTCCAAAGGTCGAAACGTGCAATCTAAATGGTTCTTAGAATCTATCAAATATTTTAGAATAAAAATTACGAATCAGATTAATACCACTATATCTTAGGCTTAAAAGAAATCAATTAAAAAAAGATAACGAGAGAATTGAAAATGAAATCGCGTTAGGTGGCAAACAAAACTTGATCGTGAAAATAGAGTGAGTGATGCAGGAAGTTTAATTCTCGTAAATCCTTTTGGTAAGCCGACTAGCTTCACTATGTGAAATCCTGCTCGACAAATACAATAATGGAAAAGAAAAAAAATAAAACAATTAAGAATATAAGAATGATTTGAAGAAATGCCTGTTTACTTCGCTCTCCAAGCGCAGTTATCCATCCACCTATCCGAGTTTTCAATTCAAGTATAAGTGATTGCACATTGGAAATGACCGGTGAATGGATAGATGGATGGATATACGGTGTAAACATGTAAAAAAAGAAAAACGATTACAGTTTGCAAGAATTCAAAAGTTGGTGAATAAACCGGAAGAAAAGAAAGGGATTGTTAGTTGGACGAAGGGTTACAGGGAGTGAGGCTAGCCTATCAACAGATGATACACAGATTACAATGAATGTGTGGCAAAGAAAAGAGAAGTGCGTTCCTTCCAACAATGAATCTTTTGGGGGTGCCGCAAAATTGCCTGTCCAAATTGGATGGTTTTCGAATAATGGGTTTCGGAGGCAGAACAGAGGCATATGTATATATCTATATTTATATGTATTGCCAAATAAGCAATATATTAAAGATGCAAGCACAACCATTCAGTTTCTTGAGGCATTTCATACCATATATATTTTTATATTATATATATATAATATGTATATATGCATGTTCATACGTAAGTTGCAGCCATTAGAAAGGCAAAAACAAGTCAATGAAAGTTGTGTCATCAAATAACAAGCAATAAAGCCTCAAGCAGCCTTCAATGAGCAGCCCAACCATCCAGAAAACTAATCAGCTTAGTTTGTCCCATCAAGTCCACATCTCACTTTTCCTGCAAATATCAAAGAAAAATGAAAATCCAGATTTGAGCGATGAGGCGATTGACATTAGAAAAGTCAGCGCATACATACATACACTAGTGCAGTTGATGAGAAGACTATTCGCTCTTTCCTGCAATCGGTGACTGTGGGGCAATATTGCTCCAGGCAATTATCAGTTCTAGCTATAGAGCCTCAGATAATATTACTCTTACTGACTTAAGTTATATAAGCTTTTCCATCAAACAAAAATAATTTGAAACATAACGTTCAACCCAATCATTTTTGCTGTGGTTCTTAACTGGCTGAATCTTCTAGCCTTTGTGGAACCCTGAAATACGGGATTTATTTTAGAAGGACTGTAGGAAAGAAGATATAAACTCAAATACTGAAGGAGTATGATTAGGAGTCCCACAGAAAGTTTATAGAATAGATCTCGTACCCTTCATCAAATTGTCAGTGTAAATTTTTGCAGCTCTTTCTAGTGTCTAATTGATGAGAAATTCAAAAGGAGCACAAAATCTCACTTTATATACTGCAGTGTGCATTCCAGAATATTAAGTTTTTATTCAACAGCAGCGACAAGTGAAGTATTCAGCAAAGGAGTCATCACCTTGATAATAATCAGCCGTATCCACAGTGGGATATGGATATCAGCCAAATCGTTCTGAATCTGTCCTTCAAGAATTAAAACCCTTAAAAGGGAAGTGCACAATTCTTAATTTCTGCTGTTGCTGCTATTTTTAAATTACTGAATTTAAACCTAAAATGAAAATTGTGTAACAGGACAAGATGGAAGAATTGTAGAAGATATTTCTGAACACATGAATATACACATTTCAGGGATTCCAATCTAAGTTATCGAAGCAAGCCGATCGACAGTGAAAAGTTTGAAGTGAGAGTGAAGTAGAAGCTAAATATTTTAAATTACGGCATAGCAGATATTGAGCAAGAAATCAGTATTGAAATGCATTGATTTCTGTAATTAATAGTTCTAATACATAGAAGTCGGAAAATATTTTGTCGGTTTTTGAGCAAAAATTTGCTGAAAAAAGTGTTCACACTTATACAATAACCGATCGATAGCGAGTGATTCCGTTATCATTGTAACCGTTGTTATATAAGAGAAAAACGGTGACGAGAAAAAATCGAAATTACCGGATATTCCAGGTTTTTTGTTTCTTTTGAAATAAATAGGTTTACTTCAGGTAACTGTTACATAACACAAGGAATTTGAACATACTGAAGGTATTTTACTAATAAAAACCTTTGTAATCGAAAGTATTTCCCGTTAAAATTTAATCATAGAAACGGAAATATCGTCAAATAAGATGTACATTTTGTAGTCAGAAGCAGCTTCTCAAATGCATGTAGCGTGAATTTAAAAAACAGGTACATTGTCAAAAACTTCCAGAACTTTCAATTAAATCAAAATTATGGAAGCTTTTTAGAACAACCTGTCATTCTCACAAACTTTACAGAAAAATTAATTTCGACTGAAACTTAGTACAATTAAGGTAAGAATCGCTCTAAATTCGAAAAACGTTTAAAAACAATGGAAAAGAATTCAAAATGACAGTAATTTCCTGGGATTATCCATGTAATTGCAATTTCCGGTACAACTGGAGCAAGTAATCAAGGCATTTAAGCCCATAAGGCATTAAGGTAAGTCAAGAAATTCTATCCTTTTAAACATCACCAATCTCACAACATTTGAGTACAGATAATGCTGCAATGATTTCCAACAATGTGGAAATGATTATATTAAGTAAAAAAGCACTGTTGTATAGAAACTATCGCGGTACTCCAAAGATTTAATTTCATAAAAATTATACTTTTAATGTGAAAAAATCGATGCAATGATAATGAGAAGCAATTGTAAAACTAGCAGAGTCCTTCTGTCGGAGCGAAATCCCGATTCGTTACTTTCCATCACATCACAACTCCGGCCATCTGCTCGAAAGTCAGACAAGTGGTCGTTCATGCAAAAATTTTTAATCACTTATTAATTCAAAGCAAAGTCAATAACCGATAACATTTTTACAGTTCGATCAACGGTAGGATATCTCATTGAAGCTCACAGCAACTTCTCATACTTCCAAATTAATCTGAAATAATCTGAAAATAGGATAGATTGCTAAGTGCCACAAAAACGGTATGAATACTCCAGAAATAGTATTTTATCATCTCTTTAAAAATATTTCCGTGAAATTTGAACTGAACACCTAATGCTTTAATATATATATAAGCTATACAAATATCTCTCGAAGCCTCAGAAACATTCTTAGAAAATAAACGATGCTGAACGATCAAAGTCAGGCAGTCTTAATCTCAATAACTACAACCTATAAGTTGCGCAATCATTGTATGGTTCAGTTTTAGCTCTCAGGAATAACAGGGAAAATCCCGCGCTTAACTTCTATCAATACGGTCCCGTTAATTTACTGGAAACCGTATTGGACAACATGAACAGTTCATGTGAAGCAGAGAGTGGAAGAATAATGTCATAGATACATAGCTGAGACAGCAGCGTATTACTTTGAGAGAGATAGAGATACTGGTATCAACGAAATAGAATGGAGCGAGAACTGGAAACAGAGTATGATTGAAGATTTTATTGTCTAGCGGTCGGTTTGATTCGATTATGGTTGGATTAATTGCCGGGGCGATTGTTGTATTAATAACTAGAATTTGCAGCATGCGAAAAGCTAAGTTTGGTTGGTAAGATGGTGGACATTTAGTGCTATTTTAATAATCGAACATATATCTCAGTGAGGATGGATGTTATTGATGGTCAAATTATCAGTACACTGTGTCATCTTGATCCGTTCGTTTTCCTTATAGCAAATTCTTTTTTGTTTACATACCAAACATCAATGCGTGAATTCATTGTTATGATTTCAGGAACTTCTTTGATGGCTTTCAAGAAATTCCGAGCAGTGTTTCAGAGCTTGGTGTCGAGATCTTTTATCAAGCTATTGTAATGTTAGTATGGTCATGCAAACCAAGTACTAGGTAACATTGATTTTCGATCAATTAACAATAATGAATTCTTCTCGATAGGACGAAGTAAATTGAAGCATTGTTCTCTTCAGGAAGGAAATTCCATCAAAACTGCTTCCCCAGAATATGTCTGCAAAATTCCGTTGCGTTACAACCGTTGTCGATGCAGTGAAGGCAAATTTCAGCTTTATTTGTATGTTGATGTAACTCAAGCAAATCTTGATTTCAATTTAAACTGAAATTTGAATTTTTTCAAGTAGAGATATATTGAACAAAAATTTTCGGTCGAAACTAGATTCAATAGAAATCTTTACACTACTAAAACTACTAACTGCAGAGCATTGGGGTGCGTGATCCTATAGATTACCATATGTTACTCTATGGACGAAGCAAGGAGTTGCGTAATATTCTTATTGGTCTCATAGAAAAATTACCCAAAGATTCTGCTGTGGTTACATCTGCGGAAGGTATGTATTGTGAAATAATTTTTCTTTTACATTAACATATATGTCTCGAAATTTTTCGTTTTGAAGAATTTATTGAAAGCCAAGTTTCTAACCAGATTTTTAAATGCCACCTTTTTCTTGCTTGACAATTCAAAATAAGAATTGCAGATCCACTGAGAGACCTAATACGATCAGCTATCCGTGACGAGGAAAATAAGAATGAGTATCTTGTATGGTACAATTCAGCCCAAGAGGAAGAATCGGTAAGTGTGACGATGCACATAAATTTTTATGTTTTGTCGCGGAGACAGATTTCTAAGTGTGCTTTCTCAGAACAGCCTTTGCTTTTCTTTTGCTGCAAAAAAGTGATTTAGGCCTTGTCAGCAAGAATCGATTTCGTAGGTTTCTGTGGCGATGTTATGGCGGCTTTACAATGTGATGACTGGCGATATCGTCACAAAGCATTTATTTGTTCTTTGTTGGAAAATAACGCCGTGAACAATAGTAGGGTACAAAATTATCAATCAGTTAGAGATGAAATTTTAGAAATTCTGCACATTGGACGTCCCATTACAAACAAGGGAATGAAACCACAGTAAGTTTGCTTTGATTTTTTAATGCATATACCTATAATTTTTTCAAGTTTATAGAATTTATTCCTGCTTTCATTGCAATAAAATATGTCATTCTATTATTATAGAACGTTTTCCGAACCGCCCGATATATCTGTACCTTGCAGTATTTTTTAGATTGAAACCTAAACCAGTTCTTCCTCCAGCATTGCAAAGGAAGGAAAAAACAAAAAGTGAACAGAAAATTAATGAAGTTTCTAAAGTGGATGTTGAAAAAAGTGAAATGCTTAGCAAATTGCTCAATGAAGTTGTGGCTTTAACAGCATATGTAGATCGTAAGAAATTTTCAAAGACAGAGGTTTGGAGTTATATATTCTCTTATCGGTAAATTTTTTTTACAATAGCAAAGAACGACACTGTCACGATTATTCCAAAATGTTCCCTGCTTACTAGTTAAATATGCAGTTTGCAATCTTCATGTATGTCTTGTGATAACTGTCAATGAATGCTGAATTGAATGAAGTTCAATTTATTACAGATGCAAAATGATGAAGTTGAAAGATTATCAGTTTTACGAAACAAGAAGTCTCAAGAGGCTGAAATTGATGAACGACTGGGAAAACTGCTAGGAAATCCGGATGCTGTTCTGAAACTTGAGGTTTATTTTATATATTTGTAGACTAGAAGATGTAGAAGTCGAGTTGATCTTCTTAAATATGCTTTTCCAGAATTATATTGATGGAAGTAATGAAAGGATGCAGCATCTGCAAAATCTGTGGTTAAAAGTCAAAGCAGAAAAAGATGAGGAAGTGAAGACAACACGGCTAGCTGCTTTATCATCGGTCCGTCAAATGTTATAATGTTGAATCGGTAAATAACTAGCTGAATTTCTTTCATTATTACAAAAAGTTAAACTGAGGCGTTCTAGGATTTAACTCTTCCGTACTGCAGTCGACAAACTTCAGCAAAGGATACAAAACTGATTGAGAACGAACTTGCTGGTAGAAGAAAAACGCTGGAAAAATTGGTTTGTTTTAGATTGCACGAAAGTAATTTCATTTTATATATTATCAGTGAAGCTTTAGGTCAAATTTACTTATTACTTTTCAGAGAAAACAGATCGAGTCACGTGAAGAGAAGCAAATTAATCGAAGTATTTACACGAAACACATATTTGACATTGTTGCCAACATTAGGAAGCAGCAAAATGAAATTAACAAGGTATGTTCAAGTAATGCTATGTAAATGTTTAGTGTTACCATTTATTTATTGCATCTAAAGCTGCGCTGTCATAAAATAGAGGACCATTTATCAACTCCTTATTTAAAAGGCTGAAAAATTCAGCGATCAAGAAATATCCTATTGCTTATTTTGATACATTCTGCATATTTGTAGATTGCAGTTGAAAATCTCAATCTTCAGAAGGAGATCAGATCGAGCGCGGGGAAATTGGAACGTTCTTTTACTGTAGTTGAAGGAAAACTGTATGAAGTATTCATTTTATATTATTAAGGCACTTGGTTGTGATTACTAGAATCAGCTCTAATACAGCTGTATATGCAAATTTCAGTTATTCGATCATATATTGCAGTGTTATTTGAAAGCTTGTGTACTGTACATTACAGGATGTTGAGAAAGATGGATCAATGCAAAAAGCATATAGATTATTGATGAAAATTCATGGTGAGTGTTCTTGTGTTATCGCTGGCATTGATTCTGCTGGACAACTTGAACGAGAAATTGAAGAGTTAAACGATCAGGTAAGATTATAATTTCACGCACTTTCTTTCAAATTCAAAATTAATAAATCAAGCATTTTTGTTAAACGTTTACTAATTTTTTCCTAAAACAATCGAGTAAGGTAGAGAAATATTTAGCTTTTTTGCTAAATGTCATCAATTCATGATTTATAACCTTTTCGTTGAAGATTGCTATGCAGCATCAAAAGAACACTGATGAAAAACTTGAATGTGTTGTTAACGACTGGATGGAAATAAGGAAAGAAAATATGATTTTGAAGGAATTATTAAACGAATGTGATAATTAATTTATTTTGTCTTATTCCACTAATATGTCTTGGAGATTTATTTCTTTTGTATAACGAGAAAATCCAATACATAATTGACGTTCAAAATCTTATGCATCGTTTATTAGTTTATGTGGTGGTAACATAGGTTTAAAACAACCTTCTCGTTGTAGAGAGGATTCACACGTATGACTTACGTTTTTTAGGAGAGCTTCTTGAACAATTAAGAAAAGCGAAGCAAAATTGGAACTTAAAGACATTTCAGACTACAAAATCTTGATGAAAATAAGAGTTGTACCAGTTTCCATGCAGTCATTCTGATAAAAAGAGTTCGTTCAGAACCTGAAATTAACGAAATGGTACGAAGTACCATTGCATCTTATAACTGTGCCAGCAACATTAGTCCAACATAATCTTTATGAAAAAAAGGAGATTGTAAGAAATATGGGTATTGTAAAAAAAGAAAGAGAAAGAATTGTTATCGCACACGCCAACCGTTACAGCCTTTGTTGGATTGTGATCCATTCGGAATTCTTAGATTAGGGGTTCTTAAAAAACACCATTGAACTAGTAATTCATCGTCTTTTATAGGAAGAAACAACCGAATTTCAGCTGAATATCTACCTTCTAACCAGTTAAACATTAAGTTCTTATATCAAAGCAAGGAGATGATGGGTTTTTCCGGTTGTCGTGGTGAGAGTTGATGCATTTGTTGTCAGGATATGTGTCGCATGAACTTATCCAACTTTTTTTTTTTTAAAACCCGTAGAATTTTTTTTTTAAAACCCCGTTTAGTTGGACCATATTCAGCTTTGAATTCGTTTGTACGATTTTGTCCGACTGTTTTTACCATCATGGTAAACCTAACAGCTGCAATTTCTGCTAAGTTAAAATTGTCAAAAATTGTTCTCAGCAACGAATTGCTATTACCAGTTCCTTGGCAACGTTTCGGTCCATTGTGCTTAAACGCTTGTATTTCTCATAGTGGATTCAAGTTTTGATCATAATAAAATTTTCTGCGGAAGTTAAAAATCTTAACTTAGAGTAAATAAGAGGAACAAGTGCCTCTTATTTATCTTGAGAGTTTTGAAAACCACGGCCAATCCAGTTATGACGAACTGAACAGATGTTCTGCATTGATGTTACTTAAGTAATCCTAGGTTGAAAATGAAGTTAGATTATAGCACGCTATTGGTTCTATTTGTATCTCATAAAACTCTTTTAAGTCTTTCTAGCATTGAAGAAATTAAGTCAAAATTTTGCAGAAATATCTCAGGTTTCTTATATTTGCTCAGTGAATTTGGTTAGAGAAAAGATGAGCAAAAGAACAAATGAAACTTCAGTTGAGCACATTCTTATCAAATACGACTCAATGATAGTCGTTTTAGATTTATTAGGAATGCTTTAGTATCAACAAATATAGATCAACGAGCAGAAAGGTTTAGAAAATGCTTTGTCAATCATATTATAAATAGGCAGATATCAGAAATAGAAATAGATAGGCTGATTCACTTTTCACTGTCTCATTTTTGCATTATTGGAACGATTACCGTGTTATTAACCGCTTATTTTCGTCATCCTTCATTTCCTAAACTGCAGAAAGTTCATTAACTAAGCCTGAACCAGTCGATACGTCAATGTGAGCTTTATTATCTCCCATTACTAACTATTCTGCATGATCGATGCGAAAGATTTCACTGTGAATGCTTGAAGAGGTGGAAAGTGTTAAGTTTTATTTATCTTTTCGTATGTTTTATAGTTTGAATAATGCCAAAGAATTCTTCTTCGATTTAAAATTTTTTGAGCTTTTAAAAAAAATCTGTAAATTTTTCTTTTTTATTTTTGATTTATAGCAATCTTTCAAATATCTCATTCTTTATTAACAGTGATTTTTCAATGTTTGATTTATTTTTGGAATCAAAATTTTTCAAGAAATTACAAAAAAAATGGAAGAAAAAATTGTTGTTGAAATTTTGCGAAATAGAAATCTAAAAAAGAATTTTTAATTAAGCGTTGTTAGATTTTATTGAAATGTTCACATTAAAAAATTATTGTTAATAAATTATATTATTCGATTAGTTTGCTTTTATTATAAAACATTTCTATTTATTTATTTATTTATTTATTTTTATTGTGTACAAACACAACGGAATGATTTTCTTCCTTTCTGATTATTGAATTTTGAATAGGTTTTTGATATGTGTCTAATATCGGATGGATGGCGTGAATTTCTATTTGCTTCTGCTACTTTTTGTATGCTTGGATTTCTGTTCTCGAACATTGTTTTTATGAACACTGACAGAATAAAAGAGAGATGGAATAAATAGGCTGGAATAAGGAGAACAAAATGGTGATGAATAAGAGCGCCTGGAAACTAGAATTGTTAGAATAACAGCTAAGACATACACATCTATAAATCATTGTAGCATAAAGAGAAAGCGAAATCCGACGGAAACATTTGTTTTTCTCTTTTAAATAAACGGATGTTTACTTGCTCTTCCAGAACTACGCCGATGTAGAATGTAAGGGTCTGAAGTGCCACATCTCAAATATTGAGCTAGAGCAGCTCCCTTCCAACACTTCACAACATTTCACATCAATTTTCCCCTTTTTATTTTCCACATTTTATACCGAAACAAAAACGTTCTGATGACGTGCACCATAAAGATCAACCTGAACAACCTCTTTCTATTTCTCTCCCTCTATTTGCTACTAAATTGCTATCAATAAAAATATCTCGTGTGTTGCACGAAATATTTTCTTATCACTGAACTGTTTTTTATTAAGCCATATGCAAAATAAATACATTCATAATTTTTATTCTTGTGCAATTTTCAGAGCTAAAAATGTCGTATTTCTTTTATGCTATAAATAGTTACATAAATTTGCTCATTTCTAATTTAGTCCGTTTCAATGTTGAATAAATTTTAGACAGATTGATGACAAGGAGCAACTGATGAACCTTTGCACTTCATCATGGCTTATTTACGGTAAATTCCAATTACTTCCTTCACGCGATGATTATGGGTTTAATGATTGGCTATATTTTTTTCTAGTTTTTGCAAATTCAATGTTAGTAATATTTGCAACAAAAAACTTTTTTATGTGTCCTTTCTCGTAACCCATTGAAATCCTTGATTTTGCAAAAAATTTTACAATTTTTATCTGTTCTTAAATCAATATATGAATCATTTTATTAACTACTTTAAAATAACCTTTGTTACATGTTATTCATTAGATCTTAATAAGTTTCAATTTTCAATTTTCAATTCAATTTTCAAGGAATATCGGCACCAGTTTCCACTAGTTCATTATTGTTTCCAACTTACACGATTTGTTAAGAGAAGCGATAAAAGAGCGGTGTTCTAATGCGCTTAGTTTCGTGATATCATTCTCTCCTCCTGCACTAATAACCCCTATACTCAGCCTCATGTGTTAGTGTTTCATCGCTCAGTGAAAATGGAGAAAATGAAAGAATTTTAAAAAAATTTTGAGAAAAAATGTTTCAGGTAGAAAATGCGATTACCGGTCATAGCTTTACTGCTCTTATCGTTCATATCGAGGTCAGCACATGCCACCAATGCAAAAACATTAGATATCAACTGCATGTTTCTTGGATATCCTGAATTAGAATACGACGGGTTTGACCGAACTGAGGTTAATAATTTGCATTGAATTCTACCTCGTTTTATTAAATATGTTGCAAAAGGGCGACATCATCACTTTCTGCTATCGTTATCCCTTTCCCAAACCGGATTATGGCTTGTCTTTAGGTCTCCTCCTCTTATTTTACTTTTCTCCGCCTTTTTTGTCATCTTATTTTCTCATGAACTTTGTGTATGCATTTCTATTACTTATTAGACAAAAATGCAATTTCTCTTAATTAGTAGTAAGTTACGAAATTTAAAGCATTTCAAATTTCGACCATTAAAAAATTAGCTTCAAGATGACTTCAGTAATTATGCTTAACAAAACATCAACTTATTTATCTTTTAACTTAACTTTGTAACTTAGTGTTGTTACTTATTATGTTTGGATATTGTAGAATAAAAATATAATTCTCTTGTTTTCAGGTTTTAAATGAAAAAAATTTTAACAAAACAGTGCTTGCAAGCGACTTTAGAACAATTGTTTTTTTTAACGATGTTGAGGAGGACGATCCCGAATTGGATCAATATGAATGTTTTTTGCAGGTATATTTCTGCTTTTGTCTTTCAAAATTTTATTTCCATGCTAAAGTATTCATATTCGCTGTATCAAATTGAAATCATTTTGGCAATATCTGAACTGAATATTCAAAAAAATTTCAAATTTCAATTGTATCCAAGTTAATAATTAGAAATTTTGTAGTTATCAGCTCAAATAATGACCAAACGAGGGTACAGCTTCTACACCGTAAATACGACGAAAGAGACACGATTGAGGAAGCAAGAAAGTAAGATAAACGAATTAAAAAATTTTCATTTTGTTTTGAAAATACAATTGAGGAAAATTTCAGATGTTGAAAAAGGGGAGGATACAATACATATTTATAAAGATGGCTATAAAATTGAATATTTTGGCGTTCGCGATCCCGAAACATTTGTTTCATGGCTCATGGATGTAAGTATTTATTTCGAATTCATTTTGAAATTCTATTCGTTCGGTAGAATTTTCCCCTCAAACCTTTAAAAAAATAGGACATTCTTTCAAATTTTTTTCTCTGTTCTTACTTTTTTCTCAGTGTACTTCTTATTTCTTTTTTATTAAAGAATCGCATAAATCAAATTGCCAAATGTGAAAGTTCAGTTTTTCAATTTAATGGTTTACTTGCATATCACTATAGCATAATGCAGCATACGGATATTAGTACCTGTTAATAGATGAAAATTTCAGATTCCTGATGATCCGGTAACAATAATAAACGATGAGCACGATCAAGAGGGATTTGAGACATTAGAAGATGATGTTGTCAGAGTGATTGGTTATTTCGAACCGGGCAGTGTTGGTTAGCTTATTAAGCTATGTCTTATATCATTTCC